GACAGTGAGGGAGAGGTGGATGGGAAAATAGGCAGGGAGATAAATGTGGGATGAGGAAAGCAGGTGCAAGGCGTTGACACGGGGACTAAACAAGTCACTTTATTTCTCAACAAACATTTACTGCGCCCTGATTGGGAGCCAAGGCCTGTGCTGCCTTCTGCGGCATGAAGACACGTTTTGTGTCTTTTACCTCTGGAAAACTCACAAGAAGGGAATTAGAAGGACCACAGGTTTGGGTGAGGGAGAGCCCCTGCACTGGGAGCAATGGAAAAGCATATAGAAGCGGGCTTTGAAGACCCGGCTGAGTCACAGGAAGAGGCCTGTCCTGACCTTCCAGGGCCTGAAGGGGTTAAGAATGAGACCTTGCGTCCTAGAGACTGGATTGCAATCCCGGTTCAGCCACTCTCAATGCTCAGCCATTGACCTGAACAAGTCATTCCACCTTCAGAGGCCCGTTTCTTCAATGACAACACAGAGTTTATAATCACCGCGTCATTTGGCAGTGGGGAAGGTAAAGCAAGCCGGGGTGCGCTAAGGCAGTGAACAGAAGTAAGGGCGCAGGAACCGTTAGCTGTCATCCTGTGCAGAGAGGAGGGTGCAGGAGTGTGGAGATGTCCCGGCGCCCACGTCCTTGGCCTAGCCCACCCTCCCCGCACTGTTCTAGAGACCTTTTCCTAGAGATGATGTGGGGTGGTCCAGTTGCCTCTCTGAGAAGGTAAAAGCACACAAAGAAATAAAGAAGAAGAAACAACTAAGAACTGTTCCGCCACCCGCGTGGCTGGGAAAGCCTGAGGCTGGGTCATTTCTGTTCCACGCCCCTCCCCCCATGCCCACCTGGTGCAGGGGGCCTGCTGGTCAACCTCGCGGAGGCCTTGCCAGAGGCGCACCTCCAGTCGCTCCACAACAGGTGGCACAGGCATCTCTGTGAGCCTGTGATCTGCCTACGTGTCCAGTGACGGCCTGTCAATCTCCCGGGGTGTCACTTCTGATAAACAACTCCGAGAGACGGCAACTTGATCCATCAATTCCATCTGGGAGTCCCCTGACAGGCCTCCCAGCTCCCCGATCATCAGCGGTGATTCACGGCCCAGCACGGGCAGCGACGGGCCCTCCCCATGGCGCCCGGCTCCACGTCAGACCCTGCACTTGTCAAAACAGGCTCCAGGCTTCTCAGGACGGCCTCGTCTCGCCCACCTCCTGCCCGCTCTCCACGGAGGACGGGAAAGCTCTTGCTCATCCATCCCTCTGGCAAACACGTCTGGGTCGACTCCAGTGCCAGCCGAGGTTCCAAGTGGAGGCAAGAGGAATGAAGCCACCGTCACGAGATCTGAACTCGTGTACCGACTCTGCCAGCCGCATCCTGCTGCTCTGAGAGTCGCCCGGCCCCTGTCTGCGGGCGTGACGGCAGACGTCTCTGGCCCACAGGTAAGAAGACACATTAAACCATCACAGGGGGTTAACCTCAGCAGAGAGATCTTCAAGATCATCAGGCTGAACTATCTTTAAATTCATCCGCTGAGCAAACATTTATTGAGTGTCAATTATGTGCCAAGAACTATTCTAGTGTTGGGAGTCTATCAGTGAACAAACAGACAAAATCTTTATTCCATCCTCATGGGGCTTATAATCTAATGAAAGGAGACAGTAAGCGAAATTTAAAAAAAAAAGTCAACCATATAGTGTATTCAAGAGGAGTGCTGGTGAGAAAAGGCATCAGAATAGGTATAGAGATATGTGCATTTAATGTTTCTTTAACTTACTAATTTGAGTAACATATTTTCATGTGTTTGAAACACAGAGAGAGCACCCATCTGCTGGTTCACTCCCCAAATGCACACAAAGGAGCCAGGAACCCTGCCCATGGTGGCAGGGACCCCATCACTGGGGTTATCACCTGCTGCCTCTCACAGTGTGCATTAGCAGGAAGCTGGAATCAGAAGCAGGGCCAGGGCTTGAGCCCAGGCACTCTGGTATAGAACGTGGGTGTCCCAGCTGGTGTCTTAACTGCTGTGCCAAACACCCGCTCTGGGGTTTCATTTGAAACAGGTAGCCAGAGGCAGCTCCACCAAAAAGGTGGTATTTGAACCGAAACCTGCAGGAGGCGAGGGAACCAGCCATGTGGCTCTTTGGGGAAAATGCTCTAGCAGAGGAAATGACAAGTGAAGAGACCCTGAGGTAGGAACTGCAGGTGTGTCGCAGGAAAGGCAAGGACGCCCCTGAGTCTGGAACAGAAGAGAAAGGAAGTTGGAAAGAATTTGGGGTTTTATCCTGTCCTGAAATGTTCAGAACAGAGGAGTGATGGAGGCTGATTTCTATTCCAACAGGCCCACTCTGGTGCTGCACTGGGGACAACGTCCACCATAATACCATTCCTATCAGCCAAGCCTTAAATGGCACCTGCCGCACGCTAAGTCCCACTTGAAGCTCTTCATGTCCATCAACTCCTTTCATCCTTACCACAACCCCTGAGGGCAGAGTCTCTGATTGTTCCCATTTTACAGAAAAGAAAGGAAAGCCCAGAGAAGTTGTCAGTGCCTGGCTACTGACACAGTCAGTGAGCAGTAAGGCCTGGTTTCGGGTGAAGGCACAAAGTCTTCCTTTTCTCCATCCTGCTCTGGGCAGAGTCAGGTCAAGGGTGAGATTAGTTAGGAGCAATGGCAGTGGTCTTGCACGCATACTCCTTCCCCAAGCATGGGAAGAGGAGGTGAAGGGAAGCTTCCTCACCTTGGGGGGGGGGGGGGGGGGTTAATGATGGTAGTCGGGATTACAGGTCAAATTCTGGCCAAACAATAGTCCCCCCTTACATGATTTCAGATACCCACAGTCAATTACAATCCAAAAATATTCATGAAAAATTCAAGAAACAGTTTCTAAGTTTTCATTTCCATGTTGTTCTGAGTAGCATGATAAAATCGTGTGCCTTCCCACCTGGGATGTGGATCGGCCCTTTATCCAATGTATCCATGCTGTATGTGCTACCTGTCCATTAGTTACACAGTAGCTATTTTAGTTACCTGCTCAACTGTTGCAGTACCCTCAGTGCTTGTACAGAGAGCTCAGTCCTATCTAAGGTTTCAGGCATCCATCGGGTCTCTGAACATATCCCTGTGGATAGGGTGTGGGCTACTATATCTCAAGGTGGAACCAGCAGGTTTTGGAATTGCTGTCTGATCAGATGTGGGATAAAAGAGAGAGAATCAAGGTGTTTGTTTTCACTTGAGTGCAGATGGAGTTGCTTTTAACCGAGGTGAAGAAAACCAAAGGGAGGGGACGAGCAGAAGTGTGATTGGGGACACGCTATTTGAAAAGCCCATCGGACTCCAAGTCATAGAAGCCAAGAAAAGCTGAGAGGCTCAGCAGCATAGAGCCAGGCAGAGAAAGGGGTTAGGCCTTCAAGTAGGAGCACTCCTCCCTCTCTGTGTTTTAAAGAACCTTTCCATTGGCCAAGGGGACCCAGTCTACCGCTCCACTTCAGTTCAACGAGGCACACTGGCTGCAGGGTGGGCAGCCTTCTCGCACCCTCTCCTCCCCCTCCTCGGGGTGACAGTGTGTGTATGCCAAGGTGTGGACTGCAAGGGGGTGACAAGGTAACTCAGGCAACTCCGTCCCCAAGTGGCGATGGAGAGACGGCTTTCAGTGTTTACAGAATTCTGGCATTTCTCCCTGTGAACCTGCTGGGACTGGGGCATTGGGCTGCCACAGAGGCTGCCCCAAGCTGACTACGAGGCGGGCTGTTAGAGGGGTACTGAGGCAGCCTCTGCTGTGGGAGCTGGATGGAGCTGCCCGTGTTTATTTGGGTGGTGAGCTGCTTCTTAAAATCAGGCTTTGTTTCTGAAAATGAGACAGCTGGGGCTACATTTGGTGGATAAAGACATTTTGTTGAACTTTCAAAATGGGGTATTATTTTCCATTTACACTTATTTCACGGAGAATTGTAAGAAGATGAGATTGTAGACGTGTATGTGATATGCAGTAATGAGTGATGGATCTTTGAAGGTAAAAATATCTCTAGGATATTTCTTTTTCTTTTTTTTTTTTTTTTTTTTTCCCTCTCCTCTCCTCTCCTCTCTCCTCTGGGCCTCAGCCTTGGTGAGTTTAGGTTTTGTTTTGTTTTGTTTTGTTTAATATCGAGATGGAGAGAGTCTCAAGCAGGAGTATAGACTGTTCTCCGCTCAATGTTTGTCTTAATAAAGGTTAAGAGAAATGAAATCATATTAAAAAGGCTCTCAAGAGACAGGAGTACCAGACGCTTCCAACTCCCTGGATTGTTGGGAAGGATGTAGGTCAGCCAGACAGGGGAACCCACGGGGCAAAGGGCGTGGCCACCAGACCCCTTCCCCAAGGGTGCAAAACCCAAGGAACAAAGGACACAGCCAGCCAAGAGGACTGGACAAGAGCAGACACAGGAGAGGAACTGATTCAGATTCCAAGACAATGCTTCCGACTTCCATCTTTCTCTCGCCTTGTTCAGGGGCCTCCTTCCCTGGGGACCCGCGTGGGGAAGAGCCGGCTTTGCGAGGAGTTAGATTTGACATCTTTCCCCCTCTTTGCTCTCTGCCTCCTCTTAATTGCTTTGGAAGGAAACCAAGAAAGAGATAGTAGAAGGAAGAAAAATCTCCAGCTAGATTTTACTGGATAAGAACCTGTATAAGGAATTTCGGTGGTATTTACTGAACAAATAATGAACAAACATTCATCTATCAACCACTATATCAAGAATCAATATACTAATTAGGGAATGAATTAGAGAATCGGAGGCTTTGGCACAAATTCTAAGATTTCTTAACCTTCTGCTCCAGAACACAGACCACTCTATCTTTGTGCGTAGACAAGGTCGGTATCCTCAAACACAAAAAGCAGAAATCATCACTGGTAATAGCCCGCAGCCAGCTATGTCCTCATCAACATCTTGGAAAGATCCCATTGCCCTGTTGAGCCCTTTGTGCATAAATATTAGGTAGTAGAAACAAACAAGCAAAAAATGCAGAAAGACACAGAGACAGAGAGAACGCCCATCTGTTGGTTCACCCCCCAAATGTCCACAAAAGCCAGGATTAAGTCCAGGCTGAAGCTGGGAGGCAGGAATTCAACCCAGGGCTGAGCCATCACCACTGCCTCCCAGGCTCTGCATGATCAGGAAGCTGGAGTCAGGAGCCAGAGCTGGGCGTTGAACTTGGCCACTCGGAAATCACATGTGGGCATCTCAACCACGAGGTTAAGCACCTGCTTCCAGAAACAAGCTTTTTAAAGGCAGAGAAGGCAATATTTTCCAATTTACTGAGTTCAAAACACACACCATACCTCTAGCCTTAGCCTACCACAGGGCAGGGTTCACTCTTCGGGCGTCGTATCTTCTAAAAGTCCGTTGGACTGTACTTTTCCCTCAACAAGTCTCAGCCACACCTGCCCCTACCCACCACTACCAACTCCTGTGTGTGTGCTGGGGTTGGTGTCGTCTTCCAGGACAGTTCCTGTGCGGCAGGGCCCACGTCTCCTTCCCCTTGGGGTCTCCCTGCCGCTCGGTGGGCATGTGATGCCTCCAGGAGATGCTGCTTCTAATCATGTCGGAGTCCCAGGTTTTCTCCCAAAGACCTCCCTGTGTGAAGTTACAGCAGATATCAATCAGTGGTCAATTGTAAATAGCAACTGTCTGGTTTAAGGCCAAATCGCCTGGAGTCATCCTTGACTTCTCCCTGGGATATAATTCATGAATTCTGTTGGCACCGCCTAAATACGCCACTGTGACTTACCAATCGTCTCTCCTTAATAACTTGGATAACTGAGCTGGGAACGTGTGCACCTAAGCGTCTCTTGAGAGTGTCCTACATTTTGAACTGGGGGTGGTAAGATCACAAGGATCAAGAGGGGAAGAAACATTTGTCTCATGGGGCATAATTTATATTCAATAAATTGAAAAGGGTCACTCGGGGATCAGACACTCAAGTATGGCAGAGGAAGCAAAAAGAAACTCCCCATTCTGGAAAGAATGGACGATAAGAAAAGCAGAAAATGGTCCAAGGAGTCTGAGTAGGGCAGAGCAGATTTCAGTAGGCTTTACAGGGTCAGAGGACAGGGTGATCCAGTCCAAGACCCCATCCCTGGGGGAGAGAGAGAGATGGTGCTGGGGTCAGGAGTGGGAGAGAGGCCAAGAGGCTCCTGTCGTGCTGAGGAGGCAACAGGTCGAGTTGTGAGTGGCACACGGGATTCTTCTCCATGCTCAGAGGCAGAATTCTTCCCTGCCATTGGAGCTACACGATGATCCAGAGCTTGGCTGGGGACTGGAGAGGTGAGGGAGGGATCCCATGGCTAACCCTGTCCTGTGTCCCACCCCACAGGTGAGGAGACTCGGGCTGGGGGTGGGGGTGTGAATAGCTGTATCTGCAATCACCCCTCTTCTGTGGAGTTCTCCCAGTTCCCACCTCCACATCACCCTCACCAGGGAGGTGGGCTGATGCTGAAGAACACACTGCCACCTTCCTGATTCTTTTCTCCTTCTCCTGTGTGTGTTTTTTTGTTTTGTTTTGTTTTGTTGTTGTTGTTGTTGTTGTTTTTCCTGATATTACCTTGTGAGTGAGGATTACATTTTGAAAACACCACCTCCAGCCCGGACAAGTTAGAGGAGTGAAGAATGTGGGGGCAGGGCACAGGGACCAGGAGGCCCCTGGGAGGTAAGGAGTTGGAGCCCCCTGGGAGGTAAGGAGTTGGAGCCCCCTGCCGAGGAGGTTGGGGGGGGGCACAGTGGCACTGTTTGGGGTTAAGCCACTGTTTGGGCACCTGAAGCTGATGTCCTAGTTGCTCTGCCTCTGACCCACCTTCCAGATAATTTATCCTGGGAGGCAATGGATGATGGCCCAAGCATTTGGGTCCCTGCAAAACCCGCATGAGACCCCCCTAGTGCAGTTCTGCTCCTGGCTTAGGCCTGGCCCAGCCTGGCTCTTGTGGGTATTTGGGGACTGAACCAGCAGATGGAAGATCTCTCTCTCACTCTGATTTCCAAGTATATCAAAAATAAACTTTTTTAAAAAGAAAATGGTAAAAAAGGACAAGCCCGGTACAGTGCTTCCCAAATGCCAGTCCCCTAAGAGACACTTGGAAAGCCTATTAAAAATACAGAAAATAGAAAACTTTGCCTTCCCCTGAAATTCTGAATGCAAACATCTGGTATGTGAATCATTTTATTTTTTTAAGGCAGAGAAACAGAGAGAGATCTCCCATCTACTGTTTCACTCCCCAAATGCCTGCAGTAGCTGGAGCTGGGCCAAGCCAAAGGCTGGCGCTGGGAACTCCATCCAGGTCTCCTCTCTGTGTGGCACGAACCACATACGGGAGCCATCACCTACTGCCTTTCAGGATGCACACTAGCAGGAAGCTGGAGTGGGGAGTGCAGCCCGGCTTGAACCCAAACACTCAACAAGGGTGTGTCAAGTAGGGATTTAATTCACTCCTCTGTATTTTTTAAAAATATTTTAATTAATTTAAAGAGAAGATTTTGTGCATTCCGTAGGTACAGTTCCACTCTGTGTTTTTAACAAGCACCTTAGCTGACTCCTATTCATGAGTTTGGCCACCCTGTTATGAAAGAGAACCCTCAGATCTAAGCAGAGAAGCCAGGCCTGGGGTACAGATTATGGGGGATTATGGGGGTGGATCGTTTTTTTGTCCATCCATACAACGTGAAAGAGAATCCCCACTTACTCCCAGCCTCCCCAGCACGTAAGAGAAGACAAACAGTCAGTGGACCCAAGATGACATTGGGCTCGCAAGATGCTGACTGCCTGGGGTACTGGGGACACAGGTATTAGTTGTCATCACCGGTGTCACTGAGGAGTGCTGGAGGGAGGCTCTGGCCCACCGCCTCACACTGGGACTCCCCACCCCGTGGCTTGCGTTTGCCAGCCCAGCCTGCCCGGGACACACACCTCCCCTTCTGGATCAGCCAGATCTTTCTATTCACAAACACAAGCACATGTCCAACCACCCGCCACCCAGGACTGGCATTCCTTCATTACACCACAGCTTAACCACTGCACTCGCCACTTAATGCTGTTTCATACGCCCTAGGGGTAACAAAAGCCCCCACTAATGGCTTCTGGCCATTTCACTTCCTTGAGTCCATTATGGAACATTCCAGAAAAGTTCAAGAGCAACACTCCCCAGTAGGTAAATGTCAACCATCTCGGTTTTCTGCACGGGCGCAGGGTTTTACGTGCCCCACACAATGCTAAGCTGATAACACAGATAACCCATCTGGTCATGGCCTGCCTTCCCTCCCGGGGTGGGCAAGGGATTATAGCTGTTTTAACGCTGGGAGACTCGGAGCTCGTAAGAGCCTTTTGCTCTGAACAGGGGGGCAGTTACTAAGTCCAGGAGCTCCGGCACGGCAGGGCAGCGGGGCTCCAAGTGGCATCTAATTATGGGGAGGCTGCTGGCCACTGTTGAAGGTACTGTCACAGGACCCAGGTCCCAGCCTGCTGATGTGCTGCCAGCAGTTGCACTAAAACGGAAATTAAGTGCAGTGTCATGGCCATTCAGGGCATTAGGAATGGAAGGCGCCCGGGAGCTGCCTCCTGGCCCCTTGCCCACCTTATTAGCAAGGTGCAAACGAGGACCTGGCCTGGGAGAGGGAAACAGCTGGAGAAAGAGATCTTCTCTGCAGGTGGAGATAGGAGGAGAGGGAGAGGCAGGGAGCCTGTGTCCCAGATCACCTTGGCTGAGAAGAAAATTGGCTTGTTAATGAGGAAAAATCGCCAACCTCTTCCCAAAACCCTTTAAGGAACATTTTCTAGGTTGGAAGGTGTCTCCAGTCCCTACATGGGTCCTCTACCCCACAACACACCAACGTGCACACACTTACACACACATGCACATGCATCGGGGACAGCAGTGAGGGGGCTGGGGGAAGGGCCAGCACCAAATGACATCTGCATTCTTTGACACTCACCTCGCGTCGTTTGTGATTTGCTTGAAACCTTCAGGCTAGCGGCTCAGCTCGGCAAGGCTTCTCCAGCCTGCCAAGTTCACAAGCTCAGGATCTGGGGAAAGCCTGGCCTTGGCCACGCTCCAACCCTGGATACCAAGGCTAGCTGCTAAATAGAGACACAAGCCCCAGTGCCCAAGGGTGGGCGGGGAGCTCTCGGGCTGGCTGCTGCCCCCACGCCGACGTCCCCTCCCCCACCACACACACACACACACACCCACTTCCTCTCTCCTCTCCTCCTCCATCACGTCACCCTGACCTTTATTGCTGGCAGCTGCCCCAGCTGGATGATTGACAACACTCCTCTTAGAAAATGGAAACTCAGGCAGATTTTGGGAAACTCGGCGAAGGGACCAACAGCACAGCTGTCCCCTCCCTGTCATCCACCCCACTGCCACTGGGCCAAGGGGCTTTTCTCACTTGCAGCCCAAGCCGAGCCGCATGTGGAGCACGCCGGGGGTCTCTGCACAGCCAGGCCAAAGCTTCAGCGCACAGCCCTGTGTGCTTGTTTCTTTGCCAACAGCTGTCGCAGAGGTGAACTGGGACGTGGGGAAACACCAGCTCCCTCTGGATAGGGGGAAAAAAATTAAAAAGCCCGTTTTTCTGTCCTGTCAGGTCTATTTAAGTATTTAATGAGGTGAGATAGTACCAATAAATTTAACATGGCACAATAACTCTGATGATGTGGGCCACAGACTAATAAGCTCCCATCCCGGGGACAGGAGAGTGATCTCGCCTTCGCTGGATCTTATCGGGTTTGATTGCTTTGTTCAGATATTGAAAAGGTTGAGCAAGGACTTTCGGGCACTGCTACAAACCTGTGCGTATCCTCCCAGCCGGCTTAGATTGAAGCCAGGCCGTGGAATACAAGGCTGTTTATTTTAATTGACAATTGAGAGGAGAGGAATAGGTAGCGGGTGGAGGGTGGGCAAGGAGCCACAGGGGGCCTGCAACTGGGTGGCTTCTCTCTGTGTGTTTTCCTTCTCTTCAAAGTCCACGGCAGAGCTTCCAATCCAAGCTGCTCTCCGACAGAGTGTCTGTCCCTGAGGCTTCAGAGTGTCCTGCCCACTTGTCTTGAGCAAGGAGACAGGCCATTGACCCGAGTGTCACCAGTGATTTTTGTCCTTGCCTTCCATGGAATGGGGCCTGCGCGCAGCCATTTCCCAGCCCCTTGTGTCCAGCCCAGCCCGGGCTGAGCTCCCCTATGCACAATCTGTCTTCTGCAGATGGGTGGGGCAGTCCTAAAGCCCTGAGGTCAGAGGGCACAGGATCTAATGTCCCCACAGCCTGGAGCACAGAACGGAGCTTCTAAGGGGTGATGTGCAGGTCTGGAGAGTAAGTGAAAAAATTTTGCACGGCATGTGAGTGGACAGCTTTAATGTTTACATACTTACCTAAGTGCATATTGTGTGTTTAGGAAATTGTAATTACCACATCACACATAATTTCACAGATACTATACTCAGGATGAGCCAAGGCAGCCTGTAAGCTTTCATATCAAGTCAAGTTCAGGTAAATTATTCAATACTGCAAGTAATGGTACAGACGGTATCTGAGTACGTAAAGTTTGGGAAACACTATATTAGCTGCTTTATTAATTGGTCGGTCTGTTTTTTTGTGACTTATTAATTTTTCAAGTGACATATTATGTTTTATTATGAAACAGCAGAAAAGTTGAAAGAATTGTACAGTGAACATCCATACACCCAACACTTAGGTTTTTCTTTTTTATGTTAAGATTTATTTATGGGGTCGGAGCTGTGGCGTTGTGGGTAAAGCCGCAGCCTGCAGCACTGGCATCCCACATGGGCCCTGGTTATAGTCCCGGCTGCTCTACTTCTGATCCAGCTCTCTGCTATGGCCTGGGAAAGCCACAGAGGATGACCCAAGTCCTTGGACCCTTGTATCCACATGGGAGACCCAGAGGAAGCTCCTGGCTCCTGGTTTCAGATTGGCCCAGCTCTGGCCACTGCAGCCATGTGGGGAGCGAACCAGCCGATGGAAGACACTTTAAAAAAAGATTTATTTATTTATTTATTTATTTGAGAGGTAGAGTTACAGAGAGAGGGAGAGACAGAGAGAAAGGTCTTCCAGCCGCTGGTTTACTCCTTGAATGGCCACATCAGTGGGAGCTGCACAGATCCAAAGCCAGGAGCCAGGATCCAGGAACCAGGAGCTTCCTCCAGGTCTCCCACATGGGTGCAGGGGCCCAAGCACTTGGGCCATCGTCTGCTTTCCCAGGCCACAGCAGAGAGCTGGATTGGAAGTGGAGCAGCCAGGACAGGAACCAGCACACATATGGGATGCTGGCGCTAAAGGTGGAGGTTTAGCACACTATGCCACAGCACTAGCCCCAACAACAACAACAAAAAACCTAGGTTTTACATTTAACATTTTGTTATCCATGTTTGTCATGTATCTGTCCATCCAGCCATTTCTCATATCCTCCTTCAGTCTGTTTTATGTTTTTGGATGCACTTCAATGTAAATTGCAAACATCAGTGCACTTCACCCTCAAACCCTTTGGCATGCAAATCATTAGAGTTTAATATCTGTTTATGGCTCTTTTTTTAAGTAAAATTTACACCCCATGAAATGCACAAATCTCAAGTGTATCATTCAGAGTTTTGCTGAGTGCATGCACTGGTGTAACTTCAAGCCCTATCAATTTACAGAACATGCCCCCACCCCATCACAACACACCCCACTGTTGTGATTTTTCACTATACATTAATTTTGTCAGCTAAAGAAATTCATGTAAACAGAATGATATACTATTTACCGTTGTTGTAAAACTTCTTTCACAATGTAAGGCACAATGTTGGGTTTGTTTTTTAAGATTTATTTATTTGAACAGCAGAGTTATGGAGAAAGAGAAGGAGAGACGGAGAGAGAGGCCTTCCATCTGCTGGTTCACTCCTCATATGGCCACAACTGCCAGGGCTGTGCCAGGCTGAAGCCAGGAGCCAAGAGCTTCTTCTGGGTCTCCCATGTGCGTGCAGGGCCCCGAGCACTTGGGCCATCTTCCCCTGCTCTCCCAGGTGCATTAGTAAGGAGCTGGATAGGAAGTGGAGCAGCAGGAACTTGAACCGACACCCTTGTGGGATGCTGGTGTTGCAGACAAGAGCTTGACTCACTGCACCAGCCTCAAGGCACAATGTTTTGAGATTCATCATGTTGATGAATGTATCCCTAGTTTGCTCCTTAAAAAATATTTATTTATTTGAAAGGCAGGGTTACAGAAAGAGGATGAGAGAGAAAGGCAGATTTCCCAGCTGCCGGTTCATTTTCCCAAATGGCTAACACCTAGGGCTAGGCCAGGCTGAAACCAGGAGCCAGGAACTCCAGCTGGGTCTCACACGTAGGTGGCAGGGATCCAAGCACTTGGACCATCTTCTGCTGCCCTCCCAAGCACTTCAGCAGGGAGCTGAATTGGAAGTGGAGCAGCTGGGACCTGCATGGGTACTCACATGGGATGGCTGACTCAGGGGCTGGCTCCTAACAACTGCTGAGTCCTGTCCTTCTGTCTGTGTGATTCTATTTAGTTGATGGACTCCTGGGTTGTTTCCAGGTTGGGGGCATGTGGGTCTTCTACAAAGCTCCCTGTAGATACAGGCTTATGTTTTCATTTATCTCAGATTAAAAAAAAGAAAAAAACAGGGAGCTGTATTTCTGGGTTAGGGGACAGGTATACAAGTATGTTAAAGAAAAAAAAAAAAAACCTCCAGGCCTTTTTCAAAAGTGGTTGTACCCGGCCACCAAGAATCCAACAATGCATGAATTTCCAGTTGCTCCCATCTGTGACAACATTTGATGTTGTCGGTCTTTTTAATGTAGCCTTTCTAATGGATGCATAGTGATATCTCATTTTTTAACATTTTCCCAAGCACTTAGTAGCCATTTGTGAACTTTCCTTCATGAAGTATCTGTCCATATCTTTTAGCTGTTTTAGTTATGTTTGTCTTTTCATTATTTAGTTGCCATTTCTTTATACCTCCTTCATACTAATTCTTTGTCAGATACATCTTGTAAATATTTTCTCCTAGTCTGTGGCTTGCTTATTTATTTTATTTTTAAGTCATTTGTTCTCATTTTATTTAAAAGGCAGACAGACAGAGATGTTCCATCCACTCATTCATTCCCCAAAAGCCTACAACAACCAGGGCTGGGCCAGACCAAAGACAGGAACCTAGAGCTCACTCTCTGTCTCCCACAAGGGTGGCAGGTGCCCAGGTATTTGAGCCATCCTCTGCTGCTTTCCAGGGCATTAGCAAGAAGCTGGATGAGAAGCAGAGAATCCGAGACTCGAACCAGTTACTCTAATATGGGATTGTATGTGAACCAAGCAATGAAAATGGCCACACCAAATGTCCATCCCTAATATTAAAGTCGGAATTACAGAAAGAGAGGGAGAGACAGAGAGAGAGTTCTTCCATCCATGGGTTCACTTTCCACATGGCCACAAGAGCCACGGATGGGCCAGGCCAAAGCCAGCAGCCAGTAGCTTCTTTTGTGTTTCCCATGTGGGTGGCAGGGACCCAGGCACTTGGGCCATTCTCTGCTGCTTTTCCCAGGCCGTTAGCCAGGAGCTGGATCGGAAGTAGAGCAGCTGGGACACGAACCAGCACCCATATAGGAGGCTGGCATCGCAGGCAGCGACTTTACCTGCTACACCACAATACCAGCCCCTATTTATTTTTCTTAATAGTGTCTTTTGGTGAGTAAAAATACTCAATTTTATTCAAATCTAATTTGTGCTTATTTAAAAATTTTGTCATTCCTGCTTCCACTGTCTTGATACATCTTCCTGTACCTCTAAGTCACGAAGATTATCTGGGTTTTCCACCAGAAGTGGTCTAGATTTCGCTTTCACATTCAGATCTGTGATCCATTACGAATTATTTTTTTGTGTATGAAACGAGGCAGGGGCTAAGGTAATGTTTTTCCACTCAACTATCCAATTACTTTGGTAAACGTAGTTGAAAGACTTTTGTTTTCATCTTGATAGCTGTTGCAATTTTGTCAAAAATCAAGTGACTTCTCTAAGTGTAGGCTGTCTGTTCTGTGCCGTTGATTGATGGATTTTTATAAACATATTGAAGAATGCTAGCACTTGAAGGAAACTTGGAAATTCTTTATTGGTTTGTAAGCTTTCTTGGCTCATAAACCCCCTTAAGTATCTGA